ACAGGCAATCAAATTTATAATATCATTAAACTTGGACATAAACATTAAATAAGGAGATGTATTTTGCTTTGAAAATTTTTCCCGCTGTATTGCATTGAGAGTAAAAAAAAACATAGCAGCATAAAACTTATATGATAGTTCAAAGTCATTTAATTTTTAGAGATTATTTTGTTGTAAATTAAATATTTCAATATATTTCATTTATTTCTAATGCTGTGCTGAACATGCAAGGTCTAGCAATCCCTAACCAGCTATGATATTCCCAACCTTTCAGCCACCGCTCCAGCCAGACCGCCGAGCTAATACGACATTCAACACAAAGGGGCTGTTAGGTGGCAAGTAGGACTTAGGGTCTGTTTTAGGTAGTTGCAACATTTAAAAAAGCTATTGCATGGTAGATGTGCTAGGAAGCTGTTGCAAGAAAGTTGTGTATGTTTGTTTTGTGCAATTGTACAACAATTATGTTACAACTGTCCATCTTTTTCATTATTGTGTTTTTTATAACAAAACTAGTTCAATTTGCACATTTTATACATGAAAACAGGGATTCAATTCAATATTATATGTTAAAAACAAGAATTTTACCAAGAAATGAGTAACACGACAGACAAAATTTAAAAAATTAATATTAAAAAATAAATAATATTATCATGATATTGAATATGAATGTAGATGATTAATTTATGAGATTATCTCTTATCCAATAAAACTCTCAAATCCTTATCACTATCTGAGGCGGCATCATCAAACTGATCCGCCCACATGAAGATGTCACAACCTCCAATTTATTCCTTTGACGCCTTTATAATTTTCTCCCATAATTATGCTCATATCGTGTAGTAAATAGAAAACACAGGAATCCACATTAATAGTGCAAGACTCTTAAAACATTACAAGTTATTAAACTCATTTTTTCTGAAGGATTAAAACCATCACACCACGCCATAATGAGAGAGTGGGAGGCAAAAAAACCCAACTATTCCAAACTCAAATTCATATCAAATAAATGTCTTGAATGAGTTATACTTAATACAAAAAAAAAGCAAACACTTATTTATTTAGTAAATCCAAACTCAAATTCATTGCTAGAGATTTTGTTTCAAAATTTATAAGAGTAAAGAGGTGATCATCTTCATCCAAAATTGAATCACGAATCAAATCAACCAAGACAAACTCAAATTCAACTGACATGTATTGTTGACATTGACAACATCATTCAAAACCAACCTAAATGGACACAACTTAAATGACCCAACCCGAGCATGTATGACATCTCCACTCCTCACCCATTGAAAAGAACTTAAAAAAATATTTAAAATAATCACAAACCATAATCTACAAAGAGCAAAGACACCCATAACCACAAACCGTAAAAGGCAAAGAAACCCATAGCCAAACTACAACTCAACTACAAATCCCTTTCCTCCAGCTACAAATAGCAAAGAGCAGAGAGACCACAAAACAATCTCTCGAAAGTTCACATAATAAACAAATACAAATCTTTCAAATCCTTCTCTTTCAACCACAAACCATATTGAGCAAAGAGGCCACAAACTAATTTCTCCAAAGTTCAAAGTGATAATCAAATGCAGATCTTCCACAAACCGCAAAAGACAAAGATACCACTAACCAAGTTTTCCAAAAGTTCACAGAAAAAATGAAACAAGGTTCTTCCAAATCCTTTTCTTTGAACCATATAATACAAAGAGCAAAGAGTTCACAAATCACAAACTGCAAAAAATAAAGCCACAAACCACAAACCGCGAAAAGCAAAGGGACCATATACCACAAACCGCAGAAAAAAGATTGGCCAAAATAAACATTGAAGGTAAATGATAGAAGTTATTGGAGGTAGAAGGAGAGCAAATGAAGTCAACATTAGCGTAGAATAAAGAAAATAAGGGAAGAAGATAACTCTAGGCAACGTCGTCGCTCAAAGGGATAAGAAGAGAGGGACAAACGTGTAATCACGAAACAAATGAAATACTGAATGCGGTAGACAGCCAACTTGTCAAAAATACGTCGCTTTTTAATAAAAGTTACTGCACTATGTTTTACAAACAACCGATTTAACATTTTCAAAACACAACACAATACAAAAGCCGACCCAAATGCAGCTTCAGTTTAATCAGAGTTAGCAAATCCGAATTTACCAAACCTTGAGGTGGTGAAATCCTAAAAATTGTTTGTTATACCAGTAAGTAAATTTTGATAAATCATCAGAAGCAATTTAACAACTTTTAGAAGGATCTAGTCTGATTAATTAGAGGAACATACAAAGATAAATATTAAATTAAAAATTAAAATGAGCATGTATACAAAAAAATGTGCATTTTTATTAATTAATAACTAAGCATAAAAATAATAACCAATAGATTTTTGTATAAATGAATGACTTATTAAATAATAGTTTAATATTAATCAACAATTAAGTAGTTATTAACTATGTAAATTAAGAATTGCTTAAAATTTAATTAGATAGTTTAAAATTTAAAGTATATCTTTATTCATTAATTAACTATTAACTATTAACTATTAACTATTAACTATTAATCAGTTAAATTAATAAAATTAAGTCAAACAAAGTAAATTAAAACCACATACCTTTCACCTTCTTTGCCCTCCCGAAACCCTCGCCTCCATCCTCCCCCTCCTTTCGCCCAAACTTCCCATTTCTGCCGAAAACCATCTTTTATCTCTCTCCTCTCCCGGTCGCCCCAAAACCATCGCCTTCTTAAACGAACCTTCGCTATGCAGTCGCCATCATAGCTAACTAGGAAGGCAACGGCGGGATTGTGGCTTACAGCGACCACCGAAACTCCCATCCTTCTCATCCGCCCGCTCCGCTCTTACCAGAAACCATTGAGGAAGGTGAGCCTATTTGCACCATTCTTCATCTTCCTACGAATCGGCGTCATTTGGGATTTACGGGAGCTCAGGATTTACGGAAACTTTTTTTTTTGCCATTTTGGCAGGATTCAGCTTAATTCCTGCGTAAATCCTGCTTAAAACCGGCTACCAAACAGCCCGGCAGTCATCTCCATCATAGCCGCATCACATAATTCCGGTCCCGACCCATCCAAAGGCAATACTTTTACAGACCAACAGCAACCCTTCAGAATCCCTTCTCCCGTCTCATTTACTACTTTTCTCTTGGCCTATTTCACCATTACTTGATTTTGGAATTTGAATGGGAAAGAAGAAGAAGGTAAACCTTCCACCACAGCTTCCGCCGGATATCCCAGATGAAGAAATTGAGGTTTCTGATGAGGATTTGGATTTCGTGAAAAAAAATATTGAATACGCTGGCTTCCTTACAAAGCTTGACGCTAATTTGATCAACAGGTGAGAAGATATTATTACGATAGGTTTGTTTTTGTATGACTTCTGCCAAAATAACGTTTTGCAGCGGAATTATTTTGGCGATTGGTGACGGACTTGTTATTCTTATTATTTTTAAAGAACTTCTACGTAAAATAAAGGTTATGAATATTATGTATTAGGCATGTATCTCGAGTTGCTGATTACAAGGAAGACGAGCTAGAAGCAATATATGAGAGGAAGAAAAAGAAAGCTGATTTGAAGAAAGCGAGGGAGGAGGAGGGCCTTCAAGTAGACCGTGTGGATGCTCTGCCCATTAAGACTTTAGAAGGAGAGTTGTGTTACCGAACAGGTATTAAACTAGTGTTTTTAAAGTATCGATCTCCTCTTAAATTGCTAACAAAAAAGTTGATATTAACTAAACACATGAATCTTGAAGTTACAAGAAAGTTGTGGTAAATAACATTTCAGCCTTAGCTCTTGCTTGATGCCTCCTCTGTCCATGAAAGTAGAGCGGGAAAAAGAAGCTTTACAATGACACCCAAACAGTGTCTAGGAGCGCTAAACAGATGGGTATCAAAATTGGGGTTGTTACAAATGCACTCAAAGTTAGCTTCAATCCAAAAGTTTAATCTTTTGAGCGATGGCTAAAGACTTTGTATTTTTAATGCTACATATTTTTTAATTATTCGATATGGTACTAAGTCCAATCCTCTCATGCCTCATAATAATCTCCTCATGTGAGAAACTTTTACAGAGACCATCACTTCCTTCATATTGATGTTTTTTTGACATTATTGAGTACCATGCACCAAAATTCATTGCTATGGGAGTCACAAACTTTTGATTTTTGCTTTATTTTGGTAGAAGCCCCAAGAACCACTGGAGCCATAAATCACATGAGCAATTTTCTCCCAAACCATTATCGGTCCAATTTGAAATTAAACCTAGTACTCTCATATGCCTTAACACACAAATGCAAAGTGATTTTGTTATTTTGTTGTCTCTTTAGATTCTTATCATCTAATTGTTGTCAAATTGCTAACTAGTTTTCTTCACCTAAGAAAAATAAATTTTTATCCACCAACCCATGCTTCTAAAAGGTTTATAGAGCTTTTATAGTTAAAGGTTCCTGTAAACTTCCAAAAAAAGTAGCATTGAACTATTTTTGTTTAATACATGTAACACATTCACTTGTTACATGCAAATAATTTTATGGAGTATGAATTAATGGAGAGGCTTGATACCATAGTGATCAGGGTTATTTTTAACCCCAAAACTTGAGGTTATGGGTGAGAGATAACTGCTTGATGCTTTAACTCCGATTTTTTGTTAGAACTATTTGGCTTGAGGTCAAGTCTAATACTCTCATGCGGCTCAACAAATATGTCATGTATCATAACATACAAACCTTGAGTAGTCAACAAACTGATTTTTTTTAATTTTATTTTTTCACTTTATCCTTTCGTCTTCTTTATGGGATGCGCGCATAATAGCTGTTAAACTATTAACTAGCTTTTTTTTTTGCTTAAGCAAAATTGGTTTCACCAACTTGTACTTCTAAAATATTGATAGAGGTTTTATGAGCACGCGTTCTCATAACTTGCAATAAAGTAACATTGCACTATTTATTCGTCACATGTATCGTATTCTTTCCCTACATGCGATAATGTGCCCTCTTATTTTATTTTATTGTCAAGTACATCAAATAACTTAACAATTTTTGTTTGGAAAGCATTTTTTAACGTAGGTTGTCAACCACTTTTTGATTAAATGCCATCTTATATAAAGATTTGTCATAATGTATATTTATCTTGAGAAAACACATGATTTGAGTATTGAAATAATTGATTTGATGCTTTAAGGATAAAGTTATATGTGGCAAATGTTTGTCGAAGTTATTATATGTGTGGATGACCGAAAGGTTTTGAAAGACGATATCAACATTAAGTTCATGTTTTTTTATTTGTTATAGTAATGTTTGTAATGAATATTTTAAATGAGATACTTTCGGTTTATGTTTTTTTTTTTGGCATATAACACAATTTTAATTAGCAAGACTTTTGTTGAAATTAGTGAAAATTATGAAGAAAATATTGAAGATACAATTTTAGTGCCCGATGGTAGTAATTTATCAAAAGATATTACCAAAAAATTATACTTTTGTTTTAAAATTTTGGACATATTAGAATTTTTGTATAGAGGAATAGTGATATAAATTGCGAAGTAACTTTTAGACTTTGGGCTATGTATTTAAAATAGGCAAGTGCCTTAGGAGTACTATGTAATAAGTGAATATACTGGAGTGTTAAATCTAATCTACATTAAGTCATTTATTGGTCACTCAAGTGTGGCAAACGAGAATGCCAACAAAGTACCAATAGTATATTAAGGCATGATTATGAAAAGGGGTAATGAGAGATATCCATTGCAATAAAGTAGTGAAAGAAAAAAAATAGATGATTTGGGGTTCACAACGAACGTAGACGACGCACTAATAAGATGGTAATATATGTAGTTAATGTTGAAAGAGCATAGGAAAAAAAGGTAGAACAAAAGCAAATTAGTTAGAAGTTTTCTAAACAGACTTACACATAATTGATTTAACACTCCCATACCATTAAACATGAATTAATGGGGGATGGGGATTCATAAAGCTTATTTCAAACCTCGACTATCTCAAATATTTGGGAAAAGGTTGGTGATGATGATGATCACCATGTCTTATATTTCCTTAAAGGTATATGCGTATTCTTTTTTTTTGCATGGTTAACATAAGGTAATGTATATTTATATATTTTTGTACATCTGGAAAGTAAACTCTTATGCTCTTCTGGTGTTGCGATTTATATTGTCAGTTTCAAAACTCGATTATTATGTTGATGTTACTGATGCATTAGTCAAACACTATAATCTCATTTTGTGACATCTAAGAATTTATTGTGTTTTAACTTTTTGGATTTAACTACAGTGGAAGAACCAAATATTGTACATAAGGATGATGGGCCTGCATCCGAGGTCAAAGAGCATGATAGTGATAAAGGTTTGGTGAAACTTACAAAAGCAGAACGAAGGCAAAAATTGAAGAAAAGTAAAAAGGAGGCTAAAAGGCAAGCAAAAGACGAAGTCAAAGCGACTCTTGTTGAAGGTCTACACTCAGATGTCTTGGTACTCTTCTCTTACACTTTCAGTTAATATACTACTACTTTTCATATGCTATATCTAATTTTAAAGAGTCTATATTGAACTTTTATTTGGTTATTATGTCAAAACCTTCAGTCTATCACCATGTTGCCTATTGTGCTCCTCAAATGTATATTTTGGCTTCAAATTTTTCTCACACAACTCTTTTTGACCATTTCACTTTTTTTAGGTCATTTTTTTATCCTACGTCATCTTGAATAGTAATTTGAAAAATCAAAGATTGAGAGAGATGGATTCAATACCCTAATATACTTGAGGATGATATGTCATATATTGTTGTTAGTGTAATGAGCATCTAAGTGTTGGTAAGATGGACTATTAAGGATTTATGATGGATGTTGAATATGTGATAGATGAAATTTTACTTGATTTCATAGTAGTGTTGGAATTTGCAAATGACATATGCATGCCTTTTAGAAAGCAGCAGAGCATTTAGTCACTCTCAAAAGGTGAGAGATGAAATCACAAATAATATATATTTTTTACATATTATATATATATATATATATATATATATATGGAAAAGAGATTAAGGTGCTTTTAGAATATCATTTGTTCATTTAACATACAATATTAGTTATGGTATATGAATGTTTATCATAGGAATATAAATAAATCTTTCTAACAGAATAGTTGACCGCCTGTTAAGGTCATATGACTTAGATTGTGAAAAGTTTGTAGCCTTTTGATTTATGTTGTTAAGATCAATAACTAAAATTTTATATTTGAATCAAAGTTAAATATTTTTGTATTTTAATATTTTTATTTGCATTAAGCAGATAACCATAATCATTTTAGGAAAAACTTGTAATAAATAGTATGTAGGTAACATGATCTGGTACTTCCAAAAGCTGCGGTGGTTATTACAAAATTTTTTATCTCAAAAAGTCAGATCGCAGCTTTCTGACAACCACCGCATTTATCCAAGTCAGGTTGTAAAACACAACATTTGCACCACAACTTGAAAAAGTAAACACAAAACTATTTCTCCAAATGCTCCAACGGTGCGTTATGTTTGATTAAATTTTAGTTTGATTCACTTAAATTTAAGTTTAAACTTAAGATTATATGTTTAAGTTTCGTTTATTTTGAATGTAGATTTAGATTCAAAATTTAGCTTAATTTTGAATTAACTTAAGTTCTAATTTTAAGTTAAAGTTTAGGTTGAATTAAATTCAATTTAAAATTTATATTTAATCTTGTTTTAATATTAATTTTGAGTCCATTATATATTAAATTAAACTTATTTCAAATTTAAATTTGAATTTGGATTGATTTTAATCTTATTTCAATTTGGACCAAACCCAAGCTCATCTAATGCAAAACCAAACACACCCAATCCGATCCATGGTCAACCCAATCAGTCCTAGATCAACTAGCCAAGCTAGGGTTTGCTAGACATAACCTGAGTCAATTTAACCCAACCAAGACCAACTCAACTACCTAGGGATACTAGGAATGGATCCTAGGACTAGATAAAGGACTGGTTAAGAGAAGATGTTGACTACAACCGAGGTAAACAATCAATTGGTACTTTTCTTTTTGGATAGATTCAAGTATTTTGAATATTCTATCCGAAAGGTTAAAGAGTGGAGATATAATTGAGGGTATAGCTTTTATTGGTAATGCAAAGTGATCAAATCGGAGTATTCATTGGTAATCTAATTGGTCGTAGAAGAGAAAGTTGTTCTTGAAAATAATTTTTGGTTTTTGGCGCTATAATAATTAGGGGCATTTACATTAATAGCTCAGCATTCTTATGTATTTACATATCTCATACTTAAACTTTCATATATACACACATATCACTCAAATCTTTAATATCACATAAAAAATAGCACTATTACATTTCATGCACATGCTTAAAACACCAAGGTGCTATATATGTAAATATGAAAGTTAGTTGTAAGATATGCAAATGCATAAGAATTGTGTGCTAGGAAGATGAGCACAATAGATCTAATGAAAATGAAATATCTCATGCCTAGATGTTCGATTTGCACAAAACAAAGTTTAACATCTAATGCAAAAGGGATGGGCGGTGAGGATTCGTGAAGCGAACCACTAATTGATGGAATTGTGATGATGACGACATAGTTATGAAAATGTTTTAATGAAGATGTTGTCTTGTAATTGATTATTTAGCTACTCTAGGGAATATTTGATATTGCATTTAGTTTTTAATCTCTTTTTAGGTGAAAATTTTAATAGAATCGTGGGCTACTTGTCTTTGATGGAGTTTATTAATTCCGTATCACATTTTCTGATTTATTTGGCTTTGATTTATCTTTCTTTACATTGGATCTTGTATTTATACATATAGGTATGATGGTTACGATGGTGATGATTTGTAATTAATTATAAATACCATTATACAGTTCAAGGAAAGATTTGATATTGCATTAATCTACTTCCTCTTCTGTTGAAAGAAAATATTAATATTGTTATGAACCATTCATTTTTGATGGAAGGCATTGTTTTCAGAGCAACATGTTTTTATTTATTTCTTTGATATTGATTTCGCATTTTGAACATTGGGATTGAATATTTTATGCTCGTAGGTCTTTGATTTGGTCATGATTTTTTAACAAATCAAATATGTTTTAGAATGTCACAGCTTTTCTCAACTCTTAACTTTTTTTCCTGTTTTTATTTTGAAGACTGATGTTTGTGGTGGTATTAACGTTGGCCACTTAAATTTCTTTTGTTGAGGCCTTCTGCTGTAAATTGTTTGCTTCTGAAAAATGGGCAAATGATCATGACATGCGAAGCCTTCTTACATTTCTCTACAGGTGATATCTTTGTTTAAGAGAGGCGCTGAAATCCATGGTTTCACACCTCATTTGTGCCATGAAAGTTATTGGAAGTTGGATTATTGCAAATCTTTTGGTTTATTTCAAAGAACTTTGTTTAAATGCAGTCACTTGTAAATTGTGTCAAGAGAAAACAATAAGTTGATAATTTTCATGTAACTGAGTAGGTCTTCTCCCCAGCCTATATCATGCCATGAAATTATTTGCTTTTCTTTCAACAATCTTCCATCTAGATGTGTCATAGTTGTAATTTTTTTTTTCATGATTTAAGAGAAAAAGCAGACCAGTTGACATATTTCTTCCATCAATATGATTCCTGTTGTTTTAGATTGAACAGTTTTAATTCTTTTCATTTGTCGAGGTATTTTTTTTATCTTCCAATTCTTTGGGTTTATCTCTAAGCAACTTTGTTTCAAAGATGTCACTTACAAGTTTTGTGCCAATAGAAAGTGAAAAATGAATTTTTTTCTTTGAACTGAGCAGGTTGTTTCTCCCAAGCCTGTATGATGACATGGCATGATATGGCTTTCTTTCAACAATCTTCTCGTTAGGGGCCTCATAAATGTCTTTTTCTCATGAAATAAGACAAAAATAGATCCTTAGTTTGCAAATCTCATCCATCAATATGATTCATACAGTGTTAGATTGAATTGTGTTTCACTTGGTTTTATTTCTCTAGTTTTAATTTCAAATCGGGTTGTTCAATTAAGAAAAATAGTAGAAGTTTATTAATTTCATACTTTCAAATGTGAGAATTATCTCTTTAGGTCTGACAACATTGATTCTGTCTTTTGATCCTTTTATGCTGTTCTTCGCTTTTATCGTAGACACACACATCGAGCTTTGTTTGACTGTTTTGTGTGTGGCATTGAACTCACTCTCATCTGCAGGCTAAGGTGGAGGAGGACCTTTCAGCTCAAGATCTATTTGCTCGAAAGAAGGTTAGGCTTGCAGAAGTAGGAATGACATTGCTCGAGAATCCTGAGTTGAATATTAAATCCTTAAAAGATTTGCTGCATATCTGTAGCGACGAGGATCATAATATCGTTAAACTTGGGCTTATGTCTGTAGTAGCTGTTTTCAAGGACATTATTCCCGGGTATTCACCGCAATTTCCTCAATTACTCTGCGAATTCTGTGATTTTTACTATACTATTTTCTTCATGATTAACTATGTGATTCACTGCAGCTACCGAATTCGGTTGCCAACTGAAAAAGAGCTGGAGATGAAAGTGTCAAAAGATGTGCTACAAACACGTTTTTATGAATCTACCCTTCTAAGCTCATACAAGGTTTGCTCCTTGTTCTCTTATACTTGAAATTTTTTTGTATAACTGCCATTGTAATTTTTTAAATACTTGTCCAGCATTACATGTGAAAAAATCATGCCACAAGTAGCTATTGCCTTAGCAATGAACTTGAAAAAATAAATGTATTAATTTTTATAAGTATTATATTATTCTTAATATAATGAATTATTCAAAATAAAATTTTAGTAATTTTGTTTTCTGGGATGCATACCTTATTGTGCAAAATTTACTTCCCATGCTTTATTATTAGTATTTTTCATTAGTTTGTTTGGTGTAGTATTCTAGATTGCGATTCTTGCGCTCTTAGTTTAGTTTTAGTGATATAGAACTTTTTATATCTCTGAAACTTTTTCTTTATTCTTATGCATACCTTGTAGAAATACTTATATTATGAATGATTTGTTCAGTTCATATCTTGAGTTGCTGGCTTGGTTTCTCACTTCGTTTTTAAACTTTAAAGTTGCAACACTTTTGCAAATATACCTTAGAAATAAATGATAGATAATGTTTCATGGTAGTAAGAAAATACTGATTATTTTTATTAATATCTAATTTCATGTCAGGCTTACCTTCAAAAGTTGATAGCCTTCGAGAAAGATCCCTCTTTCCACCGCCTTGCAGTGCGGTGCATGTGTATTTTACTAGATGCTGTGCCTCACTTCAACTTCCGTGAGAATTTAGTGGCTGTGGTTGTCAGGAATATAAGCTCTGCAGATAATGTCGTAAGGTTCTTATAAAATTGCCTTTTGTTCTATTTACTGATTATGAGATTTTTAAGAAGATTTTTTTTTTTTTTTGTTACCTGTATATTACTGAAGCTAGGCGCTTATGTTCTTGTTATTTGGTCGGTAAAGTATCTTGCTTGAAATCTTCTTATGCCAAAATGTTGTGACGTGGCCATGCAGGGATTTTTACATTGAATTTTATTTTTTATTGAATTTTGGATTATTATGTTAAGGGGCCGTTTGTTAATGGTGAAAGAGTTCAATATAAATCCTTATATTTGCTAAATTAAGATTTCACCAATTTTTGGTGTAAATTCCTGATTTAGTAAACCATCTTTTTGTTGGATTCAAAAGATTTATTTGGAAGAAACACCCAAAGGAGAAGCAAGGTAACCGGGTGGTTGTGTAGCCTGCAAGTGCTTATCACGATCTTGCCTTACTTGCAATCGCCTATTGCAACATATTTTGCCTCTTTTCATTAGGGGTTTCAGGTAAGAACGAAGGGGAGAAATATGTGGTTTTGGACACACACAACAAACATGAGGGTATCAGATATGAGGGGGTGGAAAGTAGCAGGAGGATTTTGAATTGGAGGGAGGAGGGGAAGGTAGTAGTTATTTAATAAATTTTTTTATTTAATTATTATTTTTTGTTTTTGAATTAGGATAGCTAAACATTTTTAATTTTTGTTAATTTTGTTATTTAATGAAGAATGATTATGAAGATACTCAATTTAATTTAATGAAAGGCTTGATACAATTAAGTTAATTTAAATGTTAATTTATCAGGCCTTAGGATTTATTGAATCCAAATTTATAGGATTTACTTTGTCCTAAATGAGTTAAATCCTAGAAGTTGCCAAACAGCCCTGAAGGATTTATTTTGTGTTGAATTTTGTTCATATTTTTAATGCTTTAAAGGGCTGGATTACTTTTTTTAAAAATGACTCTGGTTAATATTGTAATACCCAAGTTTTATTTGGCATAATGTGGTAGTGAGAAACATTGTAAGAGAATTAATTTTGGATCCTACCAGGCTCTAATTGAATTTCAAGCATTGATTTGTTGTTTTTTCTTATAATCATTATTCCATATATATATACATGTATTTATATATGTATATTTGCTATTGTTTAGCAAGCTCATGTTCATTTGAACAGACTATTTGCCGATTTCTTAATTGGTTGATGTGACCATAATATAGATTAGTGATATTTCTATTGTTATTTTAAGCCATGTTTTGCATTTATTGGCTTGAGAACTTGGTGATGCGATTTTATCTGCTTTTATTTTTTGTTTCAATTTTTTATTGTAAACAAATGCGCCGAAACTTACAATTTTGTGAGCTAGTCTCAACTCGTCCGTAATATGTTGCCAATTTTGTTGTCGCCTGTATTTCTTTAGGAAATTATGCTGTGAAACTATAAAATCAGTATTTACCAATGAGGGAAAGCATGGCGGCCAAGTTACCTTAGAAGCCGTTCGGTTGATTTCAGATCTTGTAAAGGCCCATGATTGCCAGCTCCATCCAGACAGCATAGAAGTAAGCATGGGTTTCTAATTCTTCTCTCCTATTTTTGTGATGCAGTTGATTGAACTCAATGATATAGGTTTATATATTACCTCCACCGCTGTATTTACCGTTGAAATTTTGCCTTTGAGAAAAAAAAAAAATTATTTCGATAAGACTAAATGGTGAAAAATATCTGAACTTCTTGCTTTGCATTTCGAAATGAATTTGCTTTCAAAAAGTGTTGAAATAGTCCCTTGACTTTTTGGGAGAGGGTCTTTTTAGTCTGAGAGTCTATAAAAGTATCAATTTAATCCTCAATATTTTTTTAATATGTGCTGAAATAGTGCCAGCTGAGGAGTATTTCAGCCCTAATTTAAAAATTCTGGTGACCAATTTGACACATTCATACACTCTAGGAGACACTTTACTCATTTGCTCTTTTATGTTTTGGTAGGTATTTCTGTCCTTTGTTTTTGATGAAGCTTTCAAATAAAGATGATCTAGGATTTGCTCTTTTTTGTCTTTGTAGGTATTTTTGTCATTGTTTTTTGACGAAGATCTTGGAAAATCCGAGCCTAAGGAAGAGAAAAGGGAAAAACTATCAAAGAAGAAAAAGCGAAAGCAACATCTTGAGCAATCAAATCAGCTTCCAATGAGTGAAGGTAAGAGGAGGAAACATGAATTAATGACCAAGACAAGAGAAGAGGTACTTTTTCTCCACATTTGACTATTTATCTTGAATTGGGTGAGCTGGTTGATTAAGGGCTTATTTTTTCTCTAAACTTAGTTAAGTGCAGATTTGAAGTCCGTATCTTTTGCTCCTGATAGTGATGAACGAAGGAGGACACAGTCTGAAATACTATCTGCAATTTTTGGGACATACTTTCGCATTCTAAAGCATTCTATGGATCCCTCTTTTCAAAGGTGAATTATGCAGGAAATTCGTGTTGTTTCTGTTGAGGGAAAGAAATTTTTGTATCTTATTTTGTAGGGACGCCCATATATATTACAGGGCAATTGTAAATAGAGGAACCTAACATAATATTTTAAGGTACAATGAAATGAATATGATCCACTAATTAGAAATAGAAGGTTTTTCTAAATTAGTATGCTTTAACTAACATTTTACATTAACTTGGAACATATATAAAAATGACCTTATACTTGTTACATAGCTTAAAAAGTTCAAGTGATTTGAAGTCTTGGCAGTTGTATCTGTGGTTGCTTTGAGTTGGAAAAATATTGAGCAGCAAACTTTTTTGATAATACTACATTCCGAATGAAGCGTCAATTAATGCCAGTGTCAATGTGCTTGTTCTTTTATGTAACAGCGGATTATTTAACAATATAGTTGATAACGTAAATTACCATAATTTAATATGAACTTTTTGTGTAATTTTAAAACCAAATTCTCTTGGAGGTTCTTAAGCTCAGTTTATTCATGCTTATTTAGACCACCATAGTTTATTTTTTATTTTTCAGTGCGATCAAGTTTCCTTCTAGAAATATGTAGTGCAGAATGTGAAATTTTTATCATATATTGATCCGGCTTAATATACATCAGAAAAAGTCACATTAAGGTGCCTATTGTTAGTGGTAGACTTTAGAATAGAAACTTGCTTGATAACTTCTTAAGGTATATGATAATGTGCAAAAAATCTTTCTGATGTCTTTGTTTGGGATTTTACATGTGTTGAATTTTGCTCCAATAAGGAAGTATTTGGCCTGTTGATAGTAAGATGCATCAATTTACCGGTCAACCTAAGATATTGAGAGACATCCTTTTTTTATTAACAATGTTTTGAGTGCTAATGAGAGTGTTAGCAGCCTTACAACCTAAACGACAAGTTTTCTTTGATTGAATGAGCTCCTTTGTATTCTTGAAGAAGTATGTGGGACCCCTTGAATCATCAAGGCACATGTTTGAAGATAGTTTTGTACTTTTATAATCCCCTTTTGATCCATCCTCCATGCAAGTATAATTTCATTAACATAGGCTATTAAGATAATTGAGTCAAATGAAGTATGTTTGAAGAAGATTAAGTGATTTGTTATTTTGCTACATAGGCCAACATAAGCATCAACTTTACAAACTTGTTAACGTGTGCTGATGGTTTTACTTTGACCCATTAATGGTCTGATTGAGCTTACATTGGACAAGACATAGTAATGCTTTGATACGCCCCGACACCAAAATCAGCGAACAAACCACTGTGAAATCGCAATAGATAGGTGGAAAGATACAAATAATGACTGCTCTTACAACAATCAAAGGAAAAACAAACAAGATACAAAAGATGATCTTCTTTTGAGATGTAGATCGACTCTCCCACAGCCTAGACGTCACTAGGAACAACACCAAAAGAAGAAAACACAACAACCACAAAAATAATGTATAAAAAATAACAAACCCTAGGCTCCTCCCCTTAATAGAATTCTCCCAAAGCATTTTAAAAATTTCCTTCTAAATTTTCTTCCAAACTCCCCTCAATTTCTCCTTGAATATGTGATTATGGCTCGAGTGGACCCCATCCCCTTGTTTCGTTCCTCTGCTTTCCCTCCCTTTCTTCCCGCTACACAAGCCGGCCCGCCTGTGGGATGACAAGATTGCAATCAATCAGTCCTTCGTAGACCGGCCTTCGCCCGAGCGTAACATTACTCTCCTCCTAAAAAAGTATCTTGTCCTCAAAGTGGAAAGAGGGAAAATGCTTGTGAATCACCTCATAAGGCTCCTATGTCGCTTCATAGTCTGGCAGTTTATCCACTTAACCTTTACCTCCTTCGCTCTCCTTACTCCTCGATGCATTCCCTCGACCTCTAATGGTTCCATAATCACCTCCAAGTTCTTCGTCAACATGGGCGGCAGTGTAGATGAGGATATGTAATCTCCAATTGCTCGTCTCTGCTGGGATACAAGAAGACCGGATGTAGTGTGGATGATGGTGGTAACTTCAAACAATAGACCACTGCCTCGACGTTTGCCATCTTCTCATAAGGCTCAAAGTATCTCGGTGAAAGTTTCTCTCTTCTCCTCCTGTCCAATTTCTTCCGTCGGTAGGGCATCAGCTTCAAGTAGACTATGTTCCCTGGTTCGAGTTGCACATCTCTCATGTGCCCCTCCAATTTTCTCCTCATGATGTTTGAGCCCTCAGAAGATGCCCCTTAAGTTGGGAAAAATTATGTCCGGACTCCTGACGTAGCTCTATGCGCAAACTCCAATAATATGCTGCCATGTGTGCTACATCGCAGAGGTTATTTCATGGTTATTGAAGTGGAACCGCGAATATTATTTCGGGGTTATTGAAAAGAAACCTATATATTCCACTGCAATAACTCATAAATAACCCAAAATAATCTCTACGGTTCCACTTCAATAACCCCGAAAGAACATCTCAAATGTTATTTCTCATTTTTTTATTGTTAAAGTAGAATATATAAGTTTTACTTCAATAACCCTGAAATAACTCATAAATAACCCCAAAATAAACTCCATGGTGTTATTTCGGGGTTAATAAAGCGAAACCGATGAAGTTATTTCTGGGTCATTTCGAGATTATTTCAGAATTATTGTAGAGTCCGTGATTCCACTTTAATATTTTTTTGGTAGGTTCGATATAACACACATGACGATATATTACTAAGAGTCCGCATGTAGAGCTGCGTACGGAGTCCGGACAGAAAATTTTTCCTTCTCTTAATTTGTGCTAGTATCCTGTCTTTCTCCTCCAAGTATTGATCAACGTTAGATACCAGTGTAGTGCTATGTCCATAATGTATCAAGTGAGGTGTATCCCACTTATACAATATCTTGAAAGGACTTGTCTGTGCGGTAGTGTGGTATGAAGTATTACACCAATACTCGGCCCATGCAATTCACTTAGCCCATAACTTCGGTGTATCAAATACCAAACAACGCAGGTATGTCTCCACACTCCCGTTGACCACATCCTTCTGACCATCGGTCTGGGGATGATACGCGTTGCTCCTTTTAAGGATTGTCCATTGCAACCTAAATAGCTCTTTTTAGAAGTGGCTGAGGAACACCTTGTCTCTCTCCGATACAATTGATTCCGACACCCCGTGCAAACGTACTACTTTTCGGATAAACACCGCCGCGATTGAGACCACAGTGTAGTGATGTTGTAAGGTAATGAAATGTGCATACTTAAGCGATCCACGACTACCATAATCACCCATCGTCACTTCTTCCCAAACCTTCTCTAGTAATGCTAATGGTTGTAGTAACACTCTAGTGCTGTGGTCAAGTACTTGTGGTGCTAGCACTCATCACATTTGCCATCAAGCCCGACACCTTTTTGCGCATGCCCATCTAATAAAGCTCTGCTGCCAAATGATTGTAGATCTTCTGCACCCCTGAATGATTCGCGATCGCACTATGATGAAACTCTTGTAATAATATGAGAATATACGTCGACGACTTGGGTAGTACAAATCGCCCCTGGTGGAGCAGTTGCTGTCCCCTCAATGAATATCCTGGATGACTGTTCAGAGCACGTAGTAATTCAGTCCTTATTTTTCTTAGCTCCTCATCCCTTTCTCTCTTCTGTTTCAAGACGTCTCAATCTAGGACCAGGGGTATCGATAGGGCTGTCAATTGGGGTTCCTCCACCTTTCTCGACAGCATGTCAGTTGCCTTGTTTTCCAATCCATACCCCCAAGCATCCGTCTCAACTACGAATGATTTATTGAAATTTAGAAGTGCTAATACTGATACGCTAGTTATGACCTTCTTTAGCTGTTCAAAGGCCTGTATTGCTGCTTCTCCCCTTTGAAGTTGTCTTTCTTCAATTGCTCTGTCAATGGCTATGCTATTGTGTCATATTCTCTTACGAACTTCTGGTAGTAGTAGCCGGTGAAATTTAGGAATCCTCTCAATCAAATTTCTTGTTAAGGGCCAATCAACCATAGCCTCAATCTTGGACTAATCCACTGCTATGCCTGTTCTGGTCACCACATGTCCTAAGTACTCTGCTTGCAACTGCGCAAAAGAATATTTCTTTAATTTGACATACAACTGGTGATCCCTCAACGTCTTCAGGATTGTCCTCAGATGCCCCACGCGCCTCGTCTCTGCACGAATGTAAATCAAAATATCATAAAAAAAAAATTATAAAAGTACCAATTTAGGATTGAAACTCTTTTAATGGGGGCTAAAATAGTCCTCCCTAGGGATTATTTTTGCCCATATCAAAAGAGTCTAGGGACTAATTTGACTCTTTATAGACCCAGGAACTAAATGGAGACCCATGTAAATAGTCATGAGACTTTTTTCACTCTTCACTCATTAAATTTATTTCTGGCTATAGTTAGGTTTGTAATTAATGATATTTCCATCAAATTCGGTTGTCCTCGTAACTAGGGAAGGAAACACCAGGAGGGAAAACACTGCCACTTTAAGAATTCTTCTTGTTAGAGAAAGTCATTACTGTTGTTCTATTAGTTGCGCCATAGAGGAAGAGAGACATGGAATTTAGCCAAAGATTTGAAAGATTTAACATCATATTAATCAGCCAATCATTAGTATAATAAAACTTGGTTTTTGTCTGTACGAAATTTAATTTTTTTCAGAATTGTTCATTTTATTTCCTGCTTATTGGAATAATTATAATTTGATGCTTCCAGGTCTATGCTGAATGATAATTCTTCATCCACTGGTCCTGGGCCTCGTCCTCTTCTTGGTCCTTGTCTGATGGGCTTGGGGAAGTTCGCACATTTGATCGATTTGGATTTTTTAGGCGATTTAATGAGTTGCCTGAAAAAGCTTGCCGGATATAATGAATCTTTCAATGATAATCCCTTAGGTAGCTTGTCAGTTTCTGAGAAACTCCAATGCTGCATAGTGGCATTCAGGGTGATGAGGAACAATTTAGATGCACTGAATGTTGATCTTCAGGAGTTTTATGTTCAGCTCTATAATCTACTACTGGAATACAGGCCTTTCAGGTATGTTTGCACAACTATTCATTATGTAATAAGCTGGACTATTGCCATTATAAATTGAAAGTTATCGTTTTGTAGTAGATTATGGTGATTTTGGAGCCTTTTGTTTTAGGGAAATTTACATCATACCACAATATTCTTATGTATTTACATATTTAACACCCAAAGTTTGATATTTACACTTATAAATCCTTTGTGTCAGACATTTGCATGAAAATATGTATTTCACTTTTAAAAAGGTAGTGATGATGGTGTTTTTGACGTGATTTAAAAAATTTGAGTAATATGCATGTAAATATGAATGTTTAGGTGTTAGATAGGTAAATTGACGAGAATTGTGTGGTAAAAGCCCCTTAATTTGGAAGCTATACATTTATTGAAAGGTTTGATGGAGAAGTACAGAGAGAATTAAGGAGGATCTTCATATGATTTTTATTGATTTAAAAAAAGCTTACGATAAGGCTCCAAGAGATATCCTTTGGAGAGTTCTAGAGAAGAAATGTGTTGATATGACTTATATTCAAGTCATTAAAGATATGTATATTAGAGCTCTTACTTTGTGTTCGAACAGAAGGAGGATTTACCAAATATTATCCTATTTCAGTTTTATTACATCAGGGATCGATTTTAAGCCCATATCTTTTTTGCTTTAGTTATGGATGATCTTTCTGGACATTTACAGGAGGATGTACCTTGGTGTATGTTTTTTTCTGATGATATCCTTCTTGTGGAAATAGTGCAGGAAACCTTGAATTATGGAGGTCTATTGTGGAGTTTAAAAGCCTTCGTTTGAGTATAACTAAAACTGAATACATGGAATGTAATTTGGAATGTAATTTTAGTAGTAGTAGTAGTAGTAGCTTTAGTGACATAGTTGTAACCCTGGATGATCAAATTATTAAAAGGTGTGAACGTTTTAGATATCTCGGGTCTATTGTTCAAAGTGATGGTGGTATAGATGGGGATTCTATTAATAGAATTCAAGTAGGTTGGTTGAAGTGGAGGAATGCTTCAAGCCTATTGTGTGATAGAAAAATACTGCTTTGATTGAAAGAAAAATTTTATAAGATGGTGGTGAGATCTACAATACTCTATGTGCAGAATGTCGGCCTTTAAAAGGGAAGCATAAAACTAAGTTAAGTTACCGAGATGAGAATGCTTAGGTGGATAAGTGGCTTTTCACTTAGAAACAAATTACGAAATGAATATATCCGTGATAGGATTATATCCGTGATAGGAATAGGATTGGTGTAGCTCCAGTGATGAACAAAATTAGAGAGAGTCGTCTTAGATGGTTTGGTCATATTAAACGTTGACCATCATATGATCCGGTTAGGAGAATAGATATTTTAGATTCGACTTTTGTTAAGAAAGGTAGAGGTAGACCTAGAAAGACTTGGGCTTATTGTATAAAAAATGATTTTAATTTATTAGAATTAAATAAAAATATGGCACTCAATAGGATGCAATGGAGAAAAAGGATTCATATAGCCGACCACTTAGTGGGATAAAGGGTTGTTGTTGTTGTTGTGTTTATGATGCATTGTTGGATTGCATGCTTGAAAGAAGGATTAGAGCAGCATCTCTATGGCACTATACATTCCTATGCTTGGTGGCGAGGACTATGACATACTTTCTTATTTTGCCTTGTGGGTTTCTTAAGATCTAGGGGAACCTCCATGCTTATTTCCCTCTTTTTTTTTTTCAAAATTAAAAAAAAAAAAGTAAAGAACAATTTGATGAGGATCCATGGCAATGCATTCAATCTTTGCTTGCATCATGTGGTAGTTTTATCAAACATTTTAATTTTGAAAACATAGTGTCCCTATTTTTAAGCTGAAGTTAAAGCAATACATTTAAATGCAGTATACTCGAGATGATTGGCATATTGCAGGATGTTTTTGTAATCATTTTCTGAAGTTTTTTTGAAGTGTTTTAGCTATAAATTAAATAATGCACGAATCTCATGCAAGCTTTTAACATGAAGAGTTTAGTCCAGTATGTGGGGTTAACCCTAGCTTATTATATCCACACGGACATTGTTGGCTGTTGTAATTTTGATATACCCCATCTCTATCTTATTTAATTGACCATAATTCTACCCTATTTTTGCATATTTTCTACCTTGTGCAAGTGCTAGCAAACAAAGTCAGATATCTATGACTGTGCTGAATAGGTGTTTCTATTACATTCTTTATATATTCATTTTGCACTTTTTGGTTGTTCGTTGAGTTTAGTATGCATCTTTAAGCCCTATTATACTTGGTTATTTGTGTCAACTTTATGATTCAATCCTAGGATTTATACACTTGGGATCTTATCCTTTTTAATTATTTTCTTATATCCATTATTGTTCTTTCATTTAATAGTATCCCAGGAACCTTTTTTTTAATATTCACCCATCTTGAAATTAACTATATATTTTCCTTTTCGTCACAGACATTTACTCATTAACATACACGTTAGACATATCAGAATATTATGCTTTTTCATTTTTTTCGGAGATTATTGAGTCATTTGTTATGATTTTTATGATGCTTGAGAAAGTCATCCCATTATGGATTGTGAGCACAGACCGTCTCAGGGAGGTAATTTGGTGTCAGTGCATAAAATGTTTAGCTGCATTTGAATTTGATGTCTTTCTTTATAATTCTGCAGCTTTAGTTTGTTAAATCTCTTATACTCTTACTATAAGTCGTGAGAAGAGTTAATTGGTATGTTTGTTCTATTTTAGACTAAACGCAATAATGTTCATATGCTTATTTTGTTTGCCCTATTGCTAGTGATTCTTGATCATAATTAAAACTAGAAAGAATGTCAAAATGGTCCCTTGATTGTTTGCAGTTGACCATTTTAGTTCTAGAGTCTATAAAAGTGTCAATCTAGTTCTTGGACTCTTTTGATTGGGGCTAAAACAGTGTCCATGGGGACTTATTTCAGCCCGTATTAAAAGAGTGACGACTAATTTAACACTTCCTATAGACTCAGGGACTAGGACCCCACGGAAATAATTAGGGGACTACTTTGGTTCTTTATTCAAAAGTAGAAAAATATCGAAATTCTTTAGTTTTTTATTATATGCTTGGTTTGTCATGTTGTTTATTTTGTTTACATAGAGACCGGGGTGATGTTCTGGCTGAAGCACTGAAGACCATGCTTTGGGAAGGAAAGCAGCATGATATGCACAGAGCAGCTGCTTTTATAAAACGTCTAGCTACATTTGCTTTGAGTTTTGGTTCGTCTGAGGCAATGGCAGGTAGTTTTTTCGGGCTGTGTTTGAGTACATGGAATTTGAATTAAAATAAATGAAATGTAGAGTTGAAAGGATCAAATAAATGGCAAATTCTAAATCAGCTCACAAATAATTGAATTTCATTTCATCTCCCTGACTTTCCTTAAATTCAAAACAAGTAAAATCCCAAAATAGTCTCTGATTATTTACACTAGGCCATTTTCGTCCCATAGTCTATTAAAGTGCTAAGTTAGTCCTCACACTCTTTTAATACGAGTACTAATTTGACACTTTTGTGGACAATGGGACTAAAATGATCCCCAACAAAAGGTCAGGGACCATTTTGACTCTTCAATTCAAAACAGTGCCTAGCTTCGAGTTTGACTGGTTTGCTTTTCAACTATTTCTGTCGATCATGGTAATGTATGAGAGAAGCTAAATGCACATTTTGGTACATAAAACAAGGAGAGATGAACGGAAAAGGTCATTTGATGTTAATCATTGTGCTTATGCTGTTTTGATTGATGAATGCCACTCTATTTCAATTTTTGTTCACTAATTTCTGCATTAATAACTACGATTGGACATTTCAAGCTGTGAACTGAAGCTTTATTAGCATAAAAATACGTGTCGATTAAGATATGTTTCCTTATGTAGTTTCTTGGATGCTTAGACGTTTTGAAACTTCTATTCTCCTTTGCTCAGACTACCCCAGCAGCAGTTTTATATACATACCACTCAATTCCTATGTTTTTATGTATCTAATACAAACTTCAATTTTTACACATACGCCACCTTTTCTATGCATGAAAATATGCATTTCATTTTTTAAAAGTCAAAGTAGTAGTATTTTTGATATGACGTGAAATATTTTGGTCGCTTAAATGTAAAAAGTTTAGGTGCTAGATATGCAAATGCCCCGTGTAGTCGTTGCTAAATGTATATATGCTGCAGCCTTGGTAACACTGAAGCATCTTCTCCTGAGAAATAGCAAGTGCCGTAGTCTGCTGGAGAATGATCCTGGTGGCGGCTCGCTCTCTGGTTTAGTTGTGGTGAGTTCATCTTTTCTTGCATGATTATTATAATTCATTTTTTTGGAAAACAATGAAAATGCCCTCTAGACTTTTTGTGGGAGCCATTTTAATTCCAACTGTTTAAAATGCCAACAATTACTCCAACTACTCAAAAATGATCCAAGGTTGTCTAACTAGTAGAATTGCTATTTAATTTTAAATTTTTAGCGAGGAATGACATCAAGTTGTATTTATTTTAAAAAGGATTACATATATTTACATATCTAACTCCTAAACTTCAATTTTACATGCATACCACCTTACATATGCACGAAATGGTACATGCCACTTTCTAAAAGTTAAAATAGTGATATATTTGATGTGATTTGAAACGCCCCATTTTTTTTAATATTCTTATAGAGAGTCTATTTTGTATCATATTTGTACAATCAAGGGATTAAATCGAACATTTTATACAGTCTGCAACTAAAACAATCCTCTTGAAAAGAGTCCAAGAATCATTTCCCGTGCATTTACATATCACATAAAAATACCACCATTCTAAACTTTCAAAGACTAAAATACATCTTTTCATGCATTACTAAGGTGGTATGTACCTAAAAATTAAAATTTAGATATTAAATATGTAAATACACAGGAATTGAATTGAGTGATGTACGTGTAAATCCTTCTTTTCTTATATGTTCATTGCTCGGTTTGCTGTAACTGACCAATCTTACTCTCAACATCCAGAAATACAAACCAGAGGCTTCAGACCCACATCTAAGCGGCGCTCTCGCCTCCGTTCTCTGGGAGCTCAGCCTCGTTTCCAAGCACCACAATCCCTCCATATCTGGAATGGCTTCAGGCATATCAGCCATGACGACGATGAATCCCTCGCAGACTCAAGCTTACCTCTCCGCCCTTTCTCCTGTAAATGCCTTCGACGACTCACAGATCGAGCGCGAGCTTCTCAAAGCTCTAAACAGAAAATCTTCTTTCAAGCAGAGAAGTAAAAAAATGGGGAGTGAGGAGTTTGTTGCCATCGATGCAGAGAAAGTTCGCGGCTTGGAGAAGGAAGAGGACGAGGATGTTATCGAGAGGAAGTTTGAAGAGCATTTTATGGTGCTTAGAGACATTGGAGAGAATGAGAAGTTGAGGTTGGAGCTCGGTAGAGTATCTTCGGCTTTGAGCTTATATGAAGAATATAAGCAGCAGAGAAAGCCGAAGCAGAAGAAGCAGAAGAAGCAGAAGGGTATTTAAGTTTTTTCTTTTTTTTTTTTTAAAGAATTTTGTTTGTATTAATTATGTGCTGCAGTTATTGTATCAGGCTAGAAATTTGTATTGTTTATTTTCATCATCTTTCAATATTTATGGTATTTGCAGCTTGCTAAAGACTTTTTCTTCTGCAGATTCATCATATATAGTTTATATTTATACAAGGAGGATTTACTTAAATACTACTCAATTCTTATGTATTTACATATCTAATGTCGCCTTATTTATGCATGTAAGGGTGTGTTTCATTTTAAGTTAAGGTGGTGTTTTTGTTATGGTATGAATGTAAATATTAAAATTTAGGAGTTAGATATGTTAATATATTGGAATGGGGGTGGTATCTATGTGAATGCCTCATTGAATAATTGTTGGCTTAACTAGTTTTTATTTTTAAATATGATTGAACTAAATAGGGATTGGATGCAGCTTTAAAAGTTTTTTGTTTTTATATTAATATTTTTAAATGAGGGTACATTTGAGCCAACTTTGTCAAACTGGCCATATTAAACTATGCTTTTAGCTTAATGGCGAATTGAACTGTACAGGTTAAAAAAAGGATGGGTGTTGGACATGACTCGTATATCATAAAGGGGCGGATTTTAGAGCGGAGCAGAATATTCTGTCTAAATTAGGAGAGGTTTTTTATGTGAGTTGGGGGTGAAGTATATGGGTAATTTGGTAATTATATACTATATTTTAGGATTTTCTAAGGTTATAAATAGACTTGTATGTAACCCTATGTAGTATCCTAAATTTTGTAATCTATTTTCTGAATATTGAAAAAAATTCGTTGCTCTGCTGTTTTTGAGGACATAGATATCTTTGTGGAACCTCATTTTGCATGGATTTCTACTCAAAAAGTGGGATCAGAGCGGAAGGGAGGAGAAATTTCGTCGGCGCAATAAGGGAAGAAGAAGAACCGTGGCAGCTCCTCCGACGGTTCTGTGACAGGGAGGTCTTCGGATTTCAGCGATCAGGAGCCGCGACAGGCGAATTTGTCAGAGGAAGTTCATGCGAGAGTCGTGCGACCGAGGGATCGCGGCAGAAGTCTTCGCGTGCGATCAGGCGCCAGAAGACCTTCGCTTGCGATAGTTGGAATTTGCAGAAGGAGCAGTTCACGACAGAGGCGATCGGATCGGGTTCGGCGTAGCGACAGAGACGTTCGGCGCAGGGAGATTCGCTGGTTCGCAGAGAGTTCGAGGCACATATTGGATCGGCTTCTCAAACCAGAGAGGGGAACGGGG